CTCAGCATCTCTTATTTGTGACAATCAAGCTGCTTTGCATATTGCTTCAGATCCAGTGTTTCATGAAATGACTAAGCACATTGAGATAGATTGTCATTTCCTTAGAGAAAAGGTTCTCTCAGGAGATATAGTCACTCGTTTTGTCAACTCAAATGATCAATTAGCCGATGTATTCACTAAGTCTTTGAGAGGACCTAGGATAGATCAGATATGTAACAAGTTTGATGCCTACGATCTATATGCTCCAGCTTGAGGGGGAGTGTTGTTGTAAATAGTGTCATAGAAGTCCCACATTGTGTATATGTCTTTGTATTTCTTATATGGTTTAATATATAAATGAAATCTCCTTCGTGTAGTTGACACAAGGGTTACAGTCAATGCCTCTTGTATCGTGATATTTAACATATACCATCCACCAAAAGTTATTTATCCATGCAATATTGACCCTACTGCAATTTTGCAGTATGTTGTATTCTTTAAAATGGACCTGTTAATTATCAAGAGACAAGAGGTATTCATTGTAATCCTTGTTATATTGAACTACACAACATTAGTGCTATTATATAGCAAACCAATTGAAGAATACAAAGAGACACACTCGATGTGGGACTTCTATACTATGTACACTCAATGTGGGACTTCTATACTATGTACAGCAACACTCCCCCTCAAGCTGGAGCATATAGATCGTATGCACCAAGCTTGTTACATATTTGATCTATTCTAGGTCCTCTCAAAGACTTAGTAAATACATCAGCTAATTGATCGTTTGAGTTGACCAAACGAGTGACTATATCTCCTGAGAGAACTTTTTCCCTAAGGAAATGACAATCTATCTCAATGTGCTTAGTCCTTTCATGAAACACTGGATTTGAAGCAATATGCGAAGCAGCTTGATTATCACAAATGAGAGATGTTGGGCCAGTGTCTCCAAACTTGAGTTCCTTCAGTAGCTGTTTTAACCAGATGAGTTCACAGGTAGTTGTGGCCATGGAGCGATATTCTGCTTCAGCACTTGATCTAGCAACTACACTTTGCTTCTTACTTCTCCAGGAAATCAAGTTATCTCCAACGAATACACAATACCCAGAAGTGGATCTTCTATCAATAGGAGAACCTGCCCAATCAGCATCTGAGTATCCTACAACTCTAGTATGACCTTTGTTTTCATAGAGAAGACATTTGCCAGGAGCAGTCTTGATGTACTTGAGGATACGGATTACTGCATTTCAGTGATCTTCACAGGGAGAATTCAAGAACTGACTTACTACACTGACTGCAAAGGAAATGACTGGTCGAGTAACTGTGAGATAGTTCAGTTTCCCAACCAATCTTCTATACCTTTCTGGATCAGAAAATAGCTCCCCCTGATTTGGTAAAAGTTTAACATTTGGATCCATAGGAGTATCAACGGGCTTAGCATTTAACAATGTTGTTTCCTTAAGAATATCCATAGCATATTTTCTCTGAGATAGTACAATGCCATCTTTGGATTGGGCCACTTCTATCCCTAAGAAATATCGGAGTCTTCCAAGGTCCTTTGTTTGAAAATGATGGCACAAATGTTGTTTTATCTGAGTTATGCCATGAGTATCATTACCTGTAATGACGATATCATCAACATATACTACCAAATAAATAGAACCTGAATCAGAGTGTCTGTAAAAGACTGAGTGATCAGCCTCACTTCGAGTCATGCCAAACTGCTGTACAACAGTGCTAAACCGTCCAAACTAAGCCCGGGGAGACTGCTTTAGACCATACAAGGATCTTCGGAGACGACAAACTAGGTTAGACTCCCCCTGAGCAACAAACCCAGGAGGTTGCTCCATATAAACCTCTTCCCGCAGATCACCATGGAGGAAAGCATTCTTTATGTCCAGCTGATACATAGGCCAGTGATGAATAGCTGCCATAGTAATAAAGAGGCGAACAGAAGTCATTTTCGCCACGGGAGAAAATGTGTCACCATAGTCAAAGCCAAATATCTGAGTATAACCTTTAGCCACCAAGCGGGCCTTAAGACGGTCCACCTGACCATCCGGACCAACTTTAACCGTATATATCCATCGACAGCCAACAACAGACTTCCCAGAGGGAAGGGGAACCAGATCCCAGGTACCGCTACTCTGAAGTGCACTCATCTCATCAATCATGGCTTGTCGCCAACCAGAATGTGATAACGCCTCACCTGTAGTCTTAGGAACAGATACAGAAGAAAGAGAAGAGAGGCAAGCAAAATGGGATGGGGAAAGACGATGATAACTCAAATTTATTAAATACCTGGGAGGGGGACGAGAATCACGAGTACCTTTCCGGAGTGCAATGGGCACATCAATGTCAGACGGAAGGATCGGAGCTGCCGGAGGAGATGATGACGGAAGTGAGTCCACAGGAGCCTCAGTAACAATAGGGGCAGACTCGGGGGGGCAGGGTCCTGGGGAACAGGGGGACGTTGCCGACGATGATAGACCTGGAGGGGGGGACCAGGGGCGGGAACAGGGACGGGGACATCTAAAGAAGGAGATGGTGAAGGTATATAGTGAACTGAAACAGGTGGTAAAGGTAGCTGAGTAGCAACAGAATCACTGGGATGGGAGGAGGAGTCAAAGAATGGAATAGACTCAAAGAATGTAACATCCGCCGAGACAAAGTAACGACGAAGACTAGGAGAATAACAACGATAACCCTTTTGTGAGCGAGGGTAACCCAGGAAAATACATTTATGTGACTTAGCAAATAACTTGTCAAGACCAGGACTGAGATTGTGGACAAAACAAGTAGAACCAAAGATGTGAGGAGTGAGTGGGTACAAAGGTTGATGGGGAAACAACACAGAATGTGGTACCTGATTATGAAGTACGGAGGAAGACATCCGATTAATGAGATAACAAGCTGTGAGGACAGCATCGCCCCAATACTGGAATGGGATATGACCATGTAACAAAAGTGTCCGAGTAGTCTCAATTAGGTGACGGTTCTTGCGTTCAGCAACCCCATTCTGTTGAGGGGTGTGTGAACATGATGTCTGGTGAAGGATGCCGTGAGATGCAAAGAAGGTTTGAAACTGATGAGACAAATATTCACGAGCATTGTCACTTCGAAAAATGCGAATCGAAACACCAAATTGAGTAAGGATTTCATTAAAGAACTTGTTAAAAATAGAAAACAATTCAGACCGATTTTTCATTAAAAATAACCAAGTACATCGAGAATAATCATCAATGAAAGTTACAAAATATTTGTACCCCATAGTGGAAACGGTACGACTAGGACCCCAAATATCTGAATGAACTAAAGCAAAAGGAGACGAAAACCGACGACTGACACGATCGGGAAACGAACTACGAGTGTGCTTCCCTAACTGACACGACTCACAAGACAAACTAGATAAATTTGAGAAACGTGGGACCATCTTCTGGAACTTAGCAAGATTGGGATGACCCAACTGAGCGTGGATAGTAAGCGGAGAATCCACAACAGAGCACACTGGAACAGAAGTTGAAAGCTGATAAAGGCCATTGGACTCAGATCCGACGCCAAGTGTCCTCCTCGAGCTCCGATCCTGCAAAATGACAGACTCTTTAGTGAAAGAAATAGTACAGTCAAGGGATTGAGTCAAGCGACTAATGGAAATAAGGTTGAAAGGAGAATGAGGAACATAAAGCACATTCTCAATGAGAATAGAAGGAAAAAGGAGAACAATGCCAATCCCTTGGGACTGAACCAGTGACCCATTAGCCATAGTGATACTGGGCAAGGGACCAGACGTACAGAGAGAGGTAAATAAAGATTTATTACCAGAAATATGGTCAGATGCACCAGAATCGAGAATCCATGGACCAAGAGAGGGCGAGTGCGAAACACCAGCAAAGGAATTACCCGTGTGTGCACTAGAGGCAGTGGTACCAGGAGGTGGCTGTGATCCAGCAATCAAGGCAGAGTCCGAGGCAAGAACAGTAGTCTGAGCAAAATGAGCGAAGCGAGGAGGGCGACCATGAAGATCCCAACAACGATCAATAGTATGGCCCGACTTTTTGCAATGAGTGCAGAGAAAGCGTCTCGTAGAGGGTTTGCGTCCACGTGCAAAACCCTTGGAGACAAGGGCAGATGGGTCAATTGAAGAGGGAGCAGATACTGCAGGCTCCATAGAAGTCTTAGGTGGAATGCGAAGCAACGTAGACCAAACAGAGTCAAGCGATGGAACAGTAGTAGAGCCCAAGATCTGATCCCGGTTGACAGAATATGCCGGGGGCAAACCATAAAGAGCCATGAGCATGAAGAACGTGCTGCGTTGCTCAAGTTCTTTAGCAGGATCTGCAGCAGGCGGCAACAGTTCATTGAAATCATGAATGAGGCCCTGAACTTTTCCCAAGTAAGTAAAACAACTACTGAAGGAACTCAAGTTTGGAGACACTGGCTCAGCATCTCTTATTTGTGATAATCAAGCTGCTTTGCATATTGCTTCAGATCCAGTGTTTCATGAAATGACTAAGCACATTGAGATAGATTGTCATTTCCTTGGAGAAAAGGTTCTCTCAGGAGATATAGTCACTCGTTTTGTCAACTCAAATGATCAATTAGCCGATGTATTCACTAAGTCTTTGAGAGGACCTAGGATAGATCAGATATGTAACAAGTTTGATGCATACGATCTATATGCTCCAGCTTGAGGGGGAGTGTTGTTGTAAATAGTGTCATAGAAGTCCCACATTGTGTATATGTCTTTGTATTTCTTATATGGTTTAATATATAAATGAAATCTCCTTCGTGTAGTTGACACAAGGATTACAGTCAATGCCTCTTGTATCGTGATATTTAACATATACCATCCACCAAAAGTTATTTATCCATGCAATATTGACCCTACTGCAATTTTGCAGTATGTTGTATTCTTTAAAATGGACCTTTTCTCACTGCTTACAGATCCTATAAGAGACGAGGCCCATGAAAACAACCAATTGCTAATCATAAAGGAAAACTTACGGAGTGATTTATACCTGGATGGTGGCCGTATTTCTCTGTTCTCCCCCAACTGGAGAAAATGTAGAACCATCTCCTTTCTCAATGGTAAACTCAACAGTCCCTCTCCCTGAAAGCCTAAAAAAAATTGCGAAGATATTGATTTTCCCCCATGTTCTAAGTGTTTAATTTTCCAAAGAATTGAGCTATGAATGATTAACTGTGCAATCATTTTTAAGTTAGTCTCATGTGAAATGGTCACAGTGTATGTTCAACATTTAAGGGGGGGAAATATCTGAAATGTCCATTACAAGGATCTATGTACTAGATCAAGATAATGACTGAGGTGACTTTCAGCACGAGTCACTAACCGTGGATATTGCATGTATTGCTTCGGCAACAGAAAAGATAATCCCGGTGCCTGTTGCAACAATATCAAGTTCAGATTGTGGACATGGTTGTAATATTGTTATTGCTTAAATTCAGTCATTTTATTGGAAAAAATGAAAGTAACTACTATTGATTTCAAGGTACTATCTTATTATCTGGTTTGCAGTTGCCTCTTACCTGTAATAACTCTACCTCTGCTACAGTATCCAGTGTAGATGCAAGGTTCATTGACACTTTATCTGCATCCTGCTCCTTTATAGATTGAAGGAGAGCTTGCAAACCCCCCTGCAAAATATTGGCATCATTCTGGTAGCTTCTACAATGAACCATAACTACCAATTTCACATAATGGATGAATTACATAACATTGTTGAATATTTCATCGTACAAAAAACAGAACATAATGAACTGAGATTGAGTAGAAATAAATAGCCAAATTCAACATTCTAGTATCTTCACCCCTTTTTCTTGCATCCAGCAACCTTTTGGACACGACCACATGGTATATTGTTATATTAGCTTCATAAGAGAAACATAAACAATATAAAAATGTACTTATTTTGCAACATAAAAACTATCATGTCAAGTATAAGTTACTTAAACAAAAATCATCGTAAACATGAATGACATATAAACACTCGTATATTCCAGAAGGTGTATTTTTTTCTAAAATACCTTCCCATCTATTAGAGTTGCATGTACCATAGTACCCCTTTCCTTCAGTTCCGCTGGTATACTAGCCAATATAGAATCCTTCTCATCAACCGCTATCTGAAGTAACGAAGACAATAACACCTAATAATTAGTAACTTTGCTTCTAAAAAATAAATAAAGGATATACTTATAATTTATTTTTGTTTACAACTTCTTACAATTACATTTTAACCGTTGATTTTTATCAATATGATGTTTATAATTTATTGAAAATTAATAATTAATTAATAAATATGACCCAATAAATTACAGGGAAAGGATATACTTACCACCAAAAAAAGTTTACAACATTTACAACTAACCTAATCACAATTGATTTCTCTTAATCTAACGATTATAATTTATTGAAAATTATTGAATCGCTTTTTTTAATAATTATTAATTTCCAATAAATTATAACTGTTAAATTGACGGAAATCAACGGTGATTAAATTGGTTGTAAAAGTGGTAAACTTTTTTGATAATAAGTATATCCTGCCACCTAAATTATAATTCAGAGATTTATAAAAATCAATTATTAAGATATGGATATAAAATATCGTAGAGAAAATAGAATGTAAATATAACCGTCCCTTAAAATAAATACAAGGATGAAAAAAAAATTGAATACCTTCAAAGCTTTCTTCACATTCCCCTCCATTGATCCATAAGGTTTCCTCTGCGGAATCCTCAACAGGTACGAAATATCTTCGAGAGTGTCCTAAAAGAGGCGCAAAAAAAAGTTCAAAGATAGCAAAAACGGCAACTGCAATTCAAAAACGACAATGATGGAGAGAAACCTGAATAGCCTTCATGTTAGCGTTTGCAGGAATGGCTTTCCTGAGAGCAACTTCACCTGTTCTGGGAACCTTAGTATCTGGCGAATACAGAACAGCCTTCGCAGCAGGAGACACATACGACAACGAATCCGAAAACGGTAACAAAAGTGTAATCTGAACTGAACAAACTATGATAGGAATCGCGCTTTTGAATAGCTGGTTCATTATCCTCTCACCAATCGTTGGTGCTGACGTGTCATGCTGGTATATGAGTTCCTGCATCATTAACACACATCACTTCAGAAATGCAGCATAACACAATGTTGACAATGGTTTAGTTAAATGTACACTGTGGTGTGACCTTCGTGATGTGGTTGTGGTGGTGGTGGTGGTGTTTCTT